AATAATAATAAAAGAAACTAAAAAAAGAAGAGAGTAAGTGGCTAGAGTTAACTTGGATGATAAGAAAATAAACTATCAATGAATATCTAAAATACACAAAACATTTTAAATACACACAATGGAAGACTATTCAGCCTTAAAAGGAAATGAAATTCTAACACATGCTGCCATGTGGATGAAACTTGAAAACCCTATGTTGAGTGAAATAAGCCAGAACAAAAAACACCCAACTGTTATGTAATCCCCCTTAGATGAGCTACCTGACATAGTCAAATTCAGAGATAAAACGCGGAATGTTGGTTGCCAGGGACTGGTAGGAAGAAGAGAATGGGAGTTTAATGAGTGTAGGATTTCAGATGGGAAGGATGAAATAATTTTAGAGCTGGATGATGGTGATGGGTGCACAACAATGCACATGTATTTACACCACGAAACCATACATCTGAAAATAGTTAAAATGGTAAATTTTATGTTTAGATAATTTACCACACTAGAAAATACCCTTACCTTCATGGAGCTTACAATCTGGGAGAAAAAGGCAACAAGCAAATAAAATGTAAATTTTTAGAAAGTGGTCAGCTATTTTTTTCATTCTATGTCAGGTTTTATTGATGTATTTATTATTTTTCTTTCTTTCTTTATTTTTTGAGATGGAGTCTCACTCAGTCACCCTCAGTAGAGTGTCATGGCATCATAGCTCACAGCAACCTCATACTCCTGGGCTTAAGCTATTCTCTTGCCTCAGCCTCCCAAGTAGCTGGGACTACAGGTGCCCACCACAATGCCCGGTTACTTTTTGTTGTTGTCATTGTTGTTGCAGTTGTCGTTGTTGTTTAGCTGGCTCTGGCTGGGTTCCAACCTGCCTGCCCTGGTGTATGTGGCCAGTGCCCTAACCAGTGCTACAGGCAGGCACTTAGCCTGTATCAGCTTTTTGTTTGTCCCCATTGTACAGATAAAAAGCCAAAGGGCACAGAAGAAAGGTACCCACAGTCTACCCTACACTGGTTGTCTGACTCCTTGGCCAGTAATCTTTCCACTGAATCATACTTCCTTTCTGAGATGCTTCTATTACCTTTATTTTATCGAAACCATTATGTACTAGAAAGAGGATAGGCTCTGGCACTGGGGTTTAAATTCCTGCTCAACTGCAGCCTGGAAGTTTGACCATGAGATTTCCTCTTCAGTAAAAGGGAGACAATGAAGCCTACTCTGTAAAGTTAAATGTAACTTGTTCTACTCACATCTTGGCACAAAGTGAGGAGTCAATGAAAATTAGCTCCCCCCCCCTTTTTTTTTTTGCAGTTTTTGGCCAGGGCTGGGTTTGAACCCCCCACCTCTGGTATATGG